TATATATATATATAAGTCACAGGCGTGTAGTGTTCTACACGCGTGGTACATACATATCATTGCCTGCTTTCTCTTATGCATCTGCATTGCATGAACGGTTGTCCTATCGGATAGCCGTCCTCTATTGTGTGTATGACATCTACTGCTTCTGTACCAAGTATGGAGTTTGCCACATACGCTCTATAGCACAGACAGTGGTCCTCGGCTTGATTCTTCTGATTAGCCATACAACAAATACTTCTGTGTCCTCTTCTTTATCGTTTTGACCATGTTCTACCCTTTAATTGTGGTGCAAATACACACACGCAACCAACCAACCAATCAGATCTCACAACTCGACGAAGTGCGCGCCAATAGGATGAGAGCCTTAAACGGCATCGCCCAATCAGATGCACGCAATACATCCGTCAAGGACAACGTCACGCACTCCCATGCCCAGTCCGCGGGGCAGTGCCAGTCCGACCCAATGGCGTTGCCAGACCGTCAGCGTTCAGAGGATACCCACACCCACCCCTGCGATGCATACTCCGCCGACAGACCAGCCCACCAGCACGTCAACGCCCACGTGCGTGCACTCGGCGATGGTGCAGGAGGAAGGCTCAGCCCACACACAAGTGGGGAGGGCCCTGAGCGACTACCGTTGGGTGATGCGTGTGTGTCCACTGGGGTGACGCAGGCGCAAGGGAGTGTGCAGGCAGCCCAAGGCATGCGCACGGGGTCGGAGAAGGGGAGAAATGCGACTGATACCACGGCCGTGCGGGACAGTGGCACTGGCGGTGTAGAAATAGGCACCCGCGGGAGTGGGTCTGGTGACGCGGGGCCCAATGGGGCTGCGGTTATGAACGCGAGCATCAATCAGAATGCGGGTTACAATGAACCGACCAATGGGAGAGGAGGTGTGGTTGTGGATGATCCATCAGCTCAGACTCCGCGCGCGCTTGCTGAGACGATGTCACAGGCACTCGACTGGGGCACCCAGGGATTTGATACCACACCGGTGCGATGGACATCCGGTGTATATGCGAACACCTATGAGAACGGAGATGTAGGTACGAGAGCCAATCATAACGGAGATATATGCACTAGTACAGATGGGGCTGGAGAATCGACCGCGACCGGCGATGAGTACATGTATAGAAGCACCATTGCGAGGGCCAATGGGAATGGCGCGACGACTGTCAGAGATATCCAGACAGCGCATGTCGGGTGCATCGCCGTGGAGAAGCATGTGCGTTTCCATGACAACGCTTCTCCACCGGCTCCTGCACACCCTACAGCACACACAGAAACGTCAGTCACGCATGCCGCTGAAGGGGTGTACCGCTCTGCCTCACACACACTCCCTGCCCACGCCACAATCGATGTCGGTTCTAAGAATAGATCGGCAGTTGCCAGTTCTAAAAATAGATCGGCCAGTACTTCCCCACCTACTACCCCCTCAGGCAGGGCGCCAACCCCCAAGACGTCGTCCAAACGGACAGGCACACCCAAGTTTAGGGCCAACTCGGGTACCACTCTGGATACGAACGTGGACCTGGGCCCTGTCCAAAAATCAGATACAGGTGCAGATACGAGTGTGCATGGAGACACGGATACACACGCACTGCTGCGGAGTGCGAGTACTACGGTGCCGTACAGCTCTGCGATGTCCCAGGCCCTGCAGTGGGATCTTGGATGGGATGATGTGGAAGGCGCGGATGAAGCAGGTGACGGAATAATAGATTTCGGTAACGAAATAAGCGAGGGAACGGTTGCTGATAAGGACTTTGTTGGAAGCGGTGATGAAGCAGGTGACAGAATAATAGATTTCGGTGACGAAATAAGCGAGGGCACGGTTTCTGATAAGGACTTTGTTGGAAGCGGGGATGAAGCAGGTGACGGAATAATATATTGTACTGATGGATTAGACGATGGAGCATTGGGCGACTTCGGGAGAGGTGTGCATGAGATGCCATGTGGTGAGGAAATAGGCGAGGGCGTGGGTAGGGATGTGAAAGTAGGTGACGAAATAAGCGAGGCTGCAGAATGTGAGCCACGGACTAATCCGGTACTACCCGAACAACAGTATGTGAGTGAATCTGTAGTTAACACTTTGAGTCCGAAAATTGGGATAGAGGTGCAGGGACAAGTACCCAGTCTTGCTCTCGGTAGAAAGGGACAGGGGGATCCAGAGAGGACAGTCCTGGTTGGTAGTGCTACGACACATTCGCACGCGCACAAGCGACCAAAACCACATACACAACCAGAAGTACAACCACAGCCACAGCCACAATCTCAATCGCACTCAGACAGTCAAATACAGTCGCACCCGCACCCAATGACACAGACCCAATCCCCACCACTGCCACAGCCACAGCCACAGCCACAGCCACAGCCACTGACACACCACCACCCGCGCACAGTAATGCACACCCAACCGCACACACAGTCTCAGCCACCCACCCTATCACAGTCAGCACATGTACAGCCACACTCACCATCACATGCACAATCACAAGCACATCCACAGTCACAGTCACAGGCACAGCATATGCCCCACCGTACGCAAGCGGGGAGAGCGCTGAAGCTCACTTGGGGTAAACGTCGCAAGAAATTTGGGCGGCGCGGCCCTTGCAGCCAGCCATACCTCACTGTGGATAAAAATAGAACACCTCCATGCAGCCAATCATACACCATTGTGGCTAAAAATAGAACACCTCCATGCAGCCAATCATACACCACTGTGGCTAAAAAATATAACACCTCCATGCAGCCAATCATACACCACTGTGGATAAAAATAGAACACCTCCCTGTTACCGGCCAGACACAGCCGCAAACACGGCTACAGACGCGCCTGGTAGGCAACCCACCGCACAACTGAGTATAGAAACGACGGGACGCCACAGGCACGACACACACCCAGATGCGGATACGACAACCCGTGCGACTAACCGAGATGCACACACGGCACCCCACCGCACAAACACGACGGGACGGTTGGTGCAGGGACCACAACGAGACACGGAGACGTCAGATAAGACGACCCACGGGCCACAGCAAGGCAGCAGCAGTACAACCTCTGGAGAGAGAGAGTGCACACCACCAGGCCTATGGGGGATGGAACACGACCCACCCGTGGCACAGGAACGCACGCACAGGCACACGGCCGCACCAGACAGACGCGTAGAGAAGCAGGGCAAGACAGAGATCACCACACAGACACTACAGGCAGTAGGCGACGGTATGGACACGACAGGCAAGCTAGATATTAAGAGCGAGATCATGAAGGCGTCCCTAGAGGGAGGGCGGTCTATATATGGGAAAAGGGAGCCTGTAGGTGAAAATATCACACGTGCAGGTAAGAATAAGGGGGCAGGTAAAGATAACGAAGACGTAGGTAGGAATAAAGGGACAGGTGAAGAATATGTAGGTAGGAATAAGGGGCCAGGTGAAGATGACGAATACGTAGGTAGGAACAAGGGGCAAGGTGTAGATAACGAATACGTAGGTAGAAATAAGGGTTCTGAGACATCGGCTACTGTAACGAGGAACGGAACTAGTACAGAGGCTGTATGCTCCGCTGGTGGAACTGGAGTAGAGCGAGAGCAGGTTGTTATAGCCGACGCTGGAGTCGGTGACGTGTCTTGGAGCGAAAGAGGGTCTCTCCACGGGAATCGGGGGTCATTTATAGGCAATGAAGAGTCTGAGTACTGGTCCTTCCGCACACCCACGCCGAGTGTGTGGGGTATGAAGGCAGAACAGAGTGGCAGGGCGGATGATGTGAGTGTGTTAGGTGGTGAACTTGGGCCATATAATGTGAGCATGTTGAGCTCCGGGTCTAAAAATAGCACTGGTGGTCCTGATATGGTCATCTCAAACCCAGACACCGCAGAAGATAAAGGGACCAAACGGGCACAGGAACCAACCCTGCTCACCTGCACAGATCACACTGGTACCCATGGACACGAGCAGGAACATACACATACACACAGCCACACACACGCACCAGCATACACACACCCCCTGGGAGAAGCACGCCTGAACACATGCGAGAAGGATACGCTGCTGCCTAGGCAAGGCACAAGGCTGTCCCATGCAACGGCCCACACGCCTACGGTGAGGCCAAATGCTGTGGGTGTGGGTGCAGGTGCCGACGACGCGACTAAACCACAAATACACGCCATTGCAACCAACGCCGGGCGCGTTTGTACTTCAGCCGAGGACGCCGTTGCCAGGCAACCACACGCCGCGGCAGTGAGAGCTCGATCTGCTGCCTCAGGACCGCGTCAGGACCTTGACTCTGAGTTGGGGGGCTATGCACCTTTCCCGTACACGCCTGGGGCTCAAGCCAAGGCCATGGTACCGCGAACCGTACCACAAACACCTGTGGACAGGGCTGGGGTCAGCGCACCCCAATCGCCCGCAGATAGGGCCGATCCCGCCCCGACGGCGATGGGGTCTGCAACGGACAAGGCCCGACTGAGTAGCGCTGAATCAGAACGCACATGGGACCGGTCTGGTTGGTGGGACTTCCGTACGCCCTCCCCGTGGGTGGCCAAAGAAGAAAGTTTGGGGGTTGTCCAGGGGGCCAAAGCGTCTGTATTCGGGTCGAGTACGGCCCTGAAGTTGAGTCTGGGGCTCGGGATGGACGTGGATTTGGATGCGAATTTGAGTGTGGGGGTTTCGGGTATTGTGGGGATGGCTCTGGCCACGTCTACGCCCGTTGACCCAGGCACCGACATACCTACACCCACCCCCACCCACACCCACATACACACACGTATAGCCACAGAAACACCAAACCCCCCTGATACAGATACGAACCCTGATGCGCGCACAAGCAGACCCGCCCGTACTCACACGCACACAGCCACTGTCACAGCAACACAGACCCCCGCTGGTGCACATACAGCAAGACCCGCACATGCCCACATGGACTCCAGCACACCCGCGCCCAGACGGGTGAGGGCAGGCTCAGCTCTGCCATCGCCAGACAACCAGGCCCACACGCACACCCACACCCACACCCACACTCACACTCATCCCCAGTCCCCGATACCGGCGCCAGGGGTAGGGAGAGTGCAAGATACTGACAACGAAACGGCGCGTAGATGGATGGATGAATCGTCCCCACTGGACTTGTCGGATATATCTCCGGTGAGGTGGGTGGAGGGGGGGGGTCTTGCGCACGGGGAGCGGGGTGTATATAGCGGGCTTGTAGGTGTGCCACTCGGCGGAGATGATGGGGATGTGAGCCTCAGAGCCTATGCAGGCATGGGTGCCGGTGTGTGTACTGGATCGACCAGTAGTCCGAAGGCGGGATGCAGTCCGGGTAGTCCTATTCATAGCACCCGCATGGGCTCGGGAGGGCTGGCGGGCCTTAACCAGGCGGACTCGCGTGCACGATCCCTGCGATCTCCTACCCCCACCAACAGTAGTCCGAGTATGCAACCGCGTCAAGGCTCAGGCTTGGGTGGCCGTGTAGTCCCGCACACGGACAATGGGGTGGTGGGACCACCCGACCGAGATCACGCAGACTCGCCTCCACTTCCGCTGCAGATTGCGAAAAACACCAACACAGCCGCACGTGGGACTATCCCTGGGGACACCCCGGAGACGTGTACTGACCACAGCAGCCAGAGTGTGCACCGGAGGCTACCCAAACTCGGTGGACAGCGTTGGGGGTGCTCGACGGCCGGTGGCAGTGGTGAAGGCGCTGCAGCACAGAGAGAGACGCATGCAGGGGCTGGTGCAAGGGCGGGTGGGGGGGTGGCTACGGCACAGGGGAACGAGAGTGTTGTGCTACCGCGTGTGGACGATAGTCTGTCGCTGTCACTGTCGCTGACTGGGCCCTGTGAGCTGGATGATGTGGTGGCCTCTCAGATGGACCTGCACCTCTCCTACCACGACCTGGACCGGAGCCAGGACAGTTCAGGCGGGGCTCGGGGAGGCAATCAGAACACCGGGAATAACATCTCCGCCAATGAGACGGCAGTGAATACGGTGGAGACCAATGAAAACGCACCTGGAAACACGTCGCCGGACGGCATGTGCCCTGACTCTGAGGCTCAGCCCGTCGGTGGCTTAAGAGCTGCAGCCAACGAGATCGGGATACGAATGTCATACTCAACTCGAAATGGTCCTGCAGGTTCCCCGGTGCGGGGTGCAAATCGAGCCTCGACCAATGAAACCGATTCTATAAATAGACCCGTAGCCACCGGCGCCGAGGGCCGTTGTTCGGATTCAGATAGGCCGCTGGCGAGTATCGGTAGCCGACACCGCTCATCCGTATCGCCAGAGAAACACATTGGAGATGCGGTTGTTGCACCGACCAGTAACTACGATGGCTCACACGACAATGACTCACCTCCACGGCCACTCAGGAGAGCTGCCACCCATACGGCCCTCCGTAATAGCAACTGTAAGCCATATGGCGTTTGTCTTCCTTGTTCTTTTTTATTCTTCTTTTTTATTTTGTTGTTCTGAAATGCGATATGTGGAATGGAGGTTTTGCAACGCGAGCGTGTGCGTGTGGGACCAGGTGTGTGCGAGTGGTCAGGATGGATTTTGGAGAGAGCGATTTCTGTGTACATAAGATTTATGCAAGTGATACAATGCGTGCGTAGGCGTATACGGATCTCTAGTGTAGTGAGCCAGTTGACCACAGGTCCATCCAAATAGGTGCATTCCATATATATGTACATATACTGTAACCTCGCCTTATATTAAACGCCACCACCCCTATCTCTCGTATGTATTACATATCAGCCATCTCACACTGTTCTCATCAGATACGCTAGTTTAACCGTCTGCTGACACATATATTTTCAAGTCCGCCTCTAAACAAATATTTAAACTCAACCTCTAGACACATATTTAAACTCCATCTCTGCTGTTGGTGCCTCTCATTCTTCTCCTCAGTCCCGGTGGTACTCGATGATTCCGATGACTCCGCCGCAGACGCAGACACAGACGCAGACGATTCGGTGATTGTGCTAGGCCTGCGTGACAGGCTCAGAGCAAACCACGCCGATCTCAAGATGTCACCCATAAAGTCCCCAGCGTCACCACCTCAAGGTAACTCACACCCACACCCACAGGTGCAGTCACAATCACAATCACAGCCACAGTCACAGCCACAGTCACATCGGGACAACGCCCGCAAACAAACGCATTCAGAAGGGCCGTCGCGTGGCTCTGGGTGTGCGCAACAACAGCCTACCACGAGCACCGGAACCGCACCACATCACAGGCGCTCACCTGACCACACCGTATCTGACACCGCAAGTGTAACCGCAACCGCAACCACAACCGCAAGTGTACCCGCAACCGCTGTAAAGGCCAAAGCCACCACTCCGCCGCCTGCGAGCGGCAGTGGCAGGGCAACTGCAGGCGTGACTAGTGCTGCTGCCACCACGCAAGTACCGAACCGAAAGCGCTCACGCACACCAGAGCCTGAATCCGGCAGTGGAGAAGCTTCGGTCACGAGAAGGCCCTTTCAAAGGCCGCCCTCGCCTGTACAAGACCCTTCTGTGTCCGTGGCCAGCACAAGCACCCGCCAAAAGCAGCACTTACCACATAGGGGAATGGGCCCGAAGCCACCAGTCCGCGGTACATTCCTTCTGCAGCGCATCGCGGGCGGGCGAGCGCCAACCACAGGCGATGAGTCATCAGCACCGGCAGCGGCTTCGCCGTTGCACCGGCTGTTCAGTGCTTCCAGTGATATTGCTGGGGCCACCGCTCCACAGTCCCGCCCACGCATCCCGCTTTTCAGCCCACGGCGAATAGCGGGATGGGCCTCCGGCCCCACCGCCGCCGCGACGGGGACACCCACGCGGTCTCGTGTACCGATATCCAGACCACAGCAGATACCGGTACCATCACAAACAGTATCAGTCGGTGACGTGGAACCTGCGCAGAGTTTGGGATTGGGCGCGGGTGTTCTGGTGGTAGACGACGATAGTGATGACGAGGTGGTGGAGGTGTTGTCCTCGCAGCGAGACAACGTGCGTACACACGCACCGCCACACACCTACACCCACACCCGTGTGCGTGCTACACTGGGAGTGGCACGAGGGAGCAGAGGCACACCGAGACTCACACTAACACCCGGACGTGTAGGCGATGCGAGAGTGTCGACACATACAACAACACACACACCCCCCCACAGACCTGCACACACGCCCAATTTTGGCTCGGCAGGGGTGGCGATAGACCCTCCGGCTCGGCCGGCTGCGCTTGTTGTGGATGTGGATGCGGACGCGTACGACGATGGGGAAGAGGATGAGGTGATCTCTGTGGATGGGGCTGATGATTCAAGCGAAAGCGACAGCGACAGTGCAGGTAGGCGTTGGTGTAGTGTTGGACGTTGCATGCATGAATCCGTGTTGGTGGTGGTTGCTGTGGTTTGTGCGTATGGGTAGGGTATCCTTTTGTGGGCCCATACGCCTACCAATGTGGGCTGTAAGTGCCTGGAGGTTGCGCTTTACAACGTGGAATGAATCAAATGAAAAGAAAGAATTTGTGTGCATGATGGCGTGAACTCTTTGTGTGTGTGGGGGGGGGGGAGATAAGAGCTATTTATTTCGCTGTGAGAAGTCCTGAAATGTAGACTCATGTGTCATTCGGACAAAGAGGTTTATATAGATGTACCTGTTAAAGAGGTTTATATAGATGTACCTGTTAAAGAGGTTTATGTTGGTGAGCTAAGAGTTTGGATAGACAAAATCACTCACGCACCAAACCCTGTAACCCTGTAATTCTGTAGCGCGGGGCATTTCATTTGAATTCGAGGACGACGACCTGACACAGACACAGACACAGACACAACGGAAGAAGGGGACGAAGCTGACTAAAAAGCGTAAGTCAGAGAATGCTTAATTCGATTGGACACTTGATGGTTGGCTTCACTTCGCAAGTATCAGACGATAGCCCGAGGGTTGCGTATATGGAAGTGCTAGTGTGTATTCTACCCCGAGGGTGGCGTATATGGAAGTGCGAGTGTGTATGTTTATTGTGTTATTAGTAGCGTATGATAGCCTCGCAGTGAGCGATTATCACGTTCTGCAGACTCCCCCAATCTTTGGTTACACGGTGTACAAGTCATGTGTACCCTCCATATAGCAATCGTATAGTATGGATCGCGTGAAGATACCGAACATGCGGACAACAAGGTCCAGCATAGAGACGTGACGAAGTTTTTGTGAGAGCGCCGCTACTATTACATGGTACCCCTTCGCTGATCCTTGCCATCGCGTTTTGTCTACGCTTAAATCCTTGAGGCCGAATCTCGTCTGTGTGTTAGTGTGTATGGTGTGCGGGTTGTCCCGTGTTGATATATTTTAATACAATAAAAGGATTGTCTCGTGTTTTATATTTTAATGCAATACTTCCTGCGTCTCCCCACCCCAGAACTCTTTGCGAAGCTGCACGCGCACTTCAGTACTAATGAATCCCTGCGCCACGCCATGCTGGAGTACAAGGTAAGCGACCAACGTACAGGTGACCATACGCCATCTTCTGTAGTACTGTAATGTCCTCGTGCATCAAGTTATCAAGCCCAAGTGCTTTATCATGCAGTCGGATGAACTCAGCTATTGTCGTCCCGATATACTCATATCAGTGTGTAGTGTGTCAGGCCCCGTTTAGGTGGTGTGAACTTATGAATTTTATTTTATCATACTCGCTTTGGAAATGAAACAATGGTGTTATGTGGTCGCGTCATATGAATAATTATATAAGCATATGCGTATGTATATATGTAGGTACATTTGTATGTAGTGTGCGCGTGCGTCTGTATATACATATACATATATATATATATATATATATA